CAGGTGAGGGGATGAACAGGTGAGTGTAGTCATAATGAGGTAAGGTGAGCTCTTTCTCTCCCCTGCCCTCGCTCACTTTTTCTTTCTTTCTTTCTTTCTTTCTTTCTTTCTTTCTTTCTTTCTTTCTTTCTTTCTTTCTTTCTTACCTCCTTTTTTCCTTCCCTTTTTTTCTTTCTTTCCCTCTTTCCCACTTCTGTAAGATACATGGTCAGTCATACATGTGTGTTTCTCTTCTTATCAGTGTCCACAGATTGTCAATTCCAGCGCTGGTTTCTCCTGAATTCTTATCTAAATTCCCTGAATCTCTGCCTCCCAGTTGTGTTAAAGTCACTGAACATGCTCAAAATAATTTTTGACAAAAAAAAATCCACATTTTTGGACACACACTAGCGAGCAGGTAATTTTCAGTTAAAATGCATTGAATTTTTAACTGAATGCATGAATCGACTACAAACCGGAGGTTTTAGGAGGACAGACGGTGACTTAGATTTTGGGTATTTTTTTCTTTAAAGAAATCACAGAGCTGAGTCAAAAGACAGAAATGTTCACAAACGAACCTGATGCGACCGCTATGTTAGGAAACGTAATATGGCTACAAAGACAAGACAAACAACTACAAAGACGCAAAAACTGGAAAACAGAGAGAGGCAGCGCAGCCACAAAGACATAACACAAAGATTTTGTGTTAATTTTCTGTGTCCCCTCTGTTAGTCCGTGGAGCAAAGCTGGGGGGAGGATAACCCCCTTTTACCAGTCAGTGCCCAGAGGCCTGTGAACTGAGGGGTGTCATCTGAATGAAACCCTTGTTTTCTAGAAAGAATGACTCCAGAAAATGTGGTGCTCAGTCATGCGGAGCTCTGTCCTGTGTTCAATAGTACGCTCAAAACTCACTCATGAACACACTGTAGGTGGAATAGTCAGGTTTGATTCCAGACTGGAGATCAACCAAACCTGAGTCAGCCGAGATGACGTGATCACGCCGCTGATCCCCCACTGGCTGGTATGGCCGCTCACCTCCAGCTATGTCATAACCAGTTGGTTTTAGTTTTTTGACTTAATTGCAACTGGCTTCATACCGCTGTACTTATATTGACATTGATTGGCTCTCTGTGTACATGTCCCGCCCTTTACACTTCACATTTATGCATTTAGTAGACGTTTCTATCCAAAGGCGACTGACATGAGGAGGGTTAACTATATGCTTCCACAAGGGCTCGAACCCAGGACCTTCTTTATTTAAGGCAGGTGTATATGGCGAGTGTGATAACCGCTACAGTATTAGCCAACAAACATAACTCTGATTGGCTCTGGGCCTCCTTTGTTCCTCTAGTTTACATGGTGTCTCTACCAGAACTGGCGTAGCTAACACAAGCTAACTTACATACAGCCGTACTTAGGGTTACAGTTAATTAAACCTTGTTGTGCACTGACGTCACTCGATGCACCCCGTGCCTTTTTGTCTTACTGACCAAAGAATATAATAATAATAATAGAAAAAAAGATATATTAGAGATGTTTTTTAATGGATGTTTCAAACTTACAAAATGGCATCTCCATCAATAAAAATAGGGTTAAATAATAATAAAAAATGATACATTATCCAGCAACATGGTTTGAGTTGGGTTTTTTTTTGTTGTTGTTGTTGTTGTTCCAGCCCTGTTTCAGCTTTACCTCCTGGTCAGCAGTAATCTCCCAGATATTCATAGACAGACGTGGCTTTATTTTGACCCCAGATTGAAAAGTGCAGACTGTCAGCGGTCTGGGACGTTTAAGCTGCGGCGCCTCTTGAGAGACAGGAAGAGTTCAAAGACTTCATAAATGCCAGGTCATTTCTTTAAGCCCAGTCTCTGTTGGCTGTATCGCTGCTAAATCTTTTTTGGATGACAAAGGCAAAACCCTGCCCACTGAGAGACGGTCCCTGACAAATCTGCGGATCAAAATTTATGACCAGGTTATACAAAAGGTAGGAGAGCATTTGTTATCCCCGTATATTTCCTCAAAATGTGGGAACTGGATCTGATGTTTCCTGACACCTCACTCTCAAAACTAGTTCATCAAGGTCTGGTTATGGCCTGTCCTTTTGTTGGCGGCAGCGCTGACTAACGACAATACGATAGGTGCTATAGAAACGCCGTTATGGAGGAGTGAATAGAGTGACGGCCCCGCTGTTTATAATCCTCATGTCAAGTGTTAAAATTCATTCATGGTCAGGTTCAACGCCACAGGCCATCCCTGTCAGTGCCTGGGAAACACTTTAAAAAAAAAGTGTGAGAGAGGGTGTAAGTGTAGTGTTTTAGTTCCCCCAGGTTATCTCTTTAGCTTTATTGCTGAAATACATCCCGGATGTGTGAATCTGTGTAAAGGCCCACGGCGGAAACCACTGCTGAATGTTTGTGATTTATAGCCACTTTAGCTGCAGCACACTGGAAACTTCCATGCCACTGTCATGGACACGTTCAGACGTATTGACCGTTGACCAGTTTTGGTAGTTGATGTTCCATCATTAGTATATAGTTATTGGATACAAAAATGTTCCTAATCAGGTGTTGTGTTCAGGATTTTGTGTGATCCTGGATCAGTTTTAACTGTATTTTTAGCCGAAGGCAACCATTAGACATTTATGTTGTGAATTTAACCGGAGCGTTTAAAGCAGAGGTGTCCAACTCAGTTTCACCTGGGAGCCACATCAGCATTATAGTTCCCCCTAAAGGACTGGTTGTAACAGTACACCTGTAACTACTCCATAACGCTTTAATACATGTTTCTGCAACTGATTATTATTTATTCAAGTTAGTTAGTAATATTGTAAATTACTCTGTGTAATAAAAAATAAGTTATCAGGTTAAGGAACTCAGCAACA